AAAAAGCCACACAAGTTTGGACCAAACAATGAGGAGTACTTTTTTTATCACGCTTTCCAATGACGGATAAAATGTACTGCCCGTAACTGTTTTTCACTGGCCATTAAACTGTTTTTTGTTTGTTTGCATTTGAATAATATGTTAGGAAAAAATATTTTTGCCAATATGACAATGCCATTATTTAATTGATTTTATTTCCATTTATATCCATTTTGGATGATGAATATTCCATGTTACATGTGAAGAAGAAAAACAAGCCTCTGCAGTAGTTCTTGATAATAAATGGAAAAAGTTGTCTGAAGGCGAGCAAGTTGCGAGAGAGGTTTTCTTTGTTATACGGTTTCATTAGTTTAACTTGCATTATAAAGCATTACTTGCGTTTGGTGAGTATTACGTTTAGACCTTGGATGCATATTATATAAGCCAAAATAAACCTTTGATTCACCACTAATGTAAAAAAGTCCTGCAAGTTTAGACCATTGCTTTAATCGTCATTTACACCCACGTAAATGTTGTTTACGTCTGTCGGCATCCATTAGGTGAATGAAGGGCGTGATGGATTTGTTCTGTCATATTCTCAGCACCTGAACAGCTGCTGTTCTTCCGCCGGAGAGCATGTGCACAGCAGAGGTCACGGCTGCGCTCCTCTGCTCTGTCCACTGAACCATGTGGAGATGATTTGGCTTTGTTGTGATGGATTTTTAGATGCAACTGGATGTACTGGACTGGTGGAAGCCTGCTTGCTTATGCAATATCAGCTTTAAATTATGTTTGAATTAGAATTATGAAGCTAGAATGTGGGTGAGTTTGTGTTTATTGGGACAGGATTGAAATATGTAGTTTTTACTAAAGTGGGAGTTTATTGAATGGATGTGGCTGGCATGGAAGGTGCTCTACATGCATGCATCACAAAACCCATTGAAATACTCTTGTATGTGTGAAATAATTATAACATACTGTATATTCTAGGGTGACCATACATCCTCTGTCCTGGCCGGGATGTCTAAATTGCCTAAAATGTCCAGGTTTTGGCTTTTTTTTTTTTTTCAATTGACGTGCTCTCCACAGTCCTCATATGTTCACATATGTGACCCTGGACCACAAAGCCAGTCATAAGGGTCAACTTTTTTAATTGAGATGTATACATCATCTGAAAGTTGAATACATTCACTTTCCATTGATGTATGGTTTGTTAGGATAGGACAATATTTGGCCGAGATACAACTATTTGAAAATCTGGAATCTGAGGGTGCAAAAAAATCTAAATATTGAGAAAATCATCTTTAAAGTTGTCCAAATGAAGTTCTTAGCAATGCATATTACTAATCAAAAATTAAGTTTTGATATATTTACGGTAGGAAATTTACAAAATATCTTCATGGAACATGATCTTTACTTAATATCCTAATGATTTTTGGCATAAAAGAAAAATGGATAATTTTGACCCATACAATGTATTGTTGGCTATTGCTACAAATATACCCCAGCGACTTAAGACTGCTTTTGTGCTCCAGGGACACATATTTGCATTGCTTTGACTGTCTGTAGATCCCACCTTCTTGTGTGCAATGATTGGTTGATTATGTACAATGCCTGCATGATATTGGTCAAACTACTTTTCAGTCTTTGCCTTGAGCAAGTATGAAATCTATAGCAAAACAAAGCCAAATCCCGGACATTTTCGGCGATTTAGAGACATGTCCAGGAGAAAGAGGAGATACGGTCTCCCCATTATATAATTAGTGGAAGGAAGCTAGTCCCATCTGAATAGGGCTTTAGTTTATTTAGATTCAGTGCCTTTGACTTCCCAAATCAGCATTTGACTGACTGTCCTCACCCTACTAACCTCATTCGTCCTCATATTCACAAACAGCAAACCCTCAGCTCTGCTTTAACACAGACACTGAACCAGCTGTAGCCTACTGAGGATGCATCCGTCTTGTTTTATTATTATATAATGGTTGCATGCATGCTTGCTCCGATGTACACATAGTCTGGCCGGCCCTACTGGCTGTTAACTGGATGATGATGAGGTTTATTGACTTCCTGTGAAGTCATGCATACAGGGTCCAAAATGAACTTTTTACCAAGCTTGCCAGTGGCAGATGAAATTTACCATCCATAAATGTTTTTCACGGGCCATGGAACTGTATTTTGCATTACGTTAAGGACATTTTCTTTTTTTTTAATTATGATAATGGCATTATTTAACTAATTTTATTTGTGCCATACAGCATCCCAATGCAATAGGTCAAATTATCACGTTTCTGTATTTCTACAAATTTTAACCTTTATTTTCTTGCCAAAGCCAAATTTTACTTGGCTTTGTTCTATTGCATATTTATCATATATGCCAGAGGTTTGCCTCTGATTTGAAAAAGCATGCATAATTAGGCCATGTGTCACCGTATTACTGTAAACATACATTTTTTGTCTTTTGACATGCATGCAAATCCATGAGAACATTTGTTTGATATGAGAATAAAAATACTGCACATTATTTCCCTGGTTAATATCAGAGCGCTTGGCACCAGTAAAAGCCTAAAGAGCTCCAAACACAGACTTTTCAGGTTCTTAGGAGCACAGATAAATGTGTATGTGGTATAGTCTTTGCCCTCAGCGAGAGCGACAGAACAGTTTGTTAGTGGAGCAGATCGGGAATGATTCAGTCCCGAGGGAGGGGGGTGTCAGAGAGAGAGAAAGTGAGAAAGAGGCAAAAATAGAGACATTATCACGATGCACAGAGATGTATGATTTGTTTTTATCATCTGGTGTTAATTAATTTTAGGGTAATAGAGGATGTATTTATAGCATGCATGCATGTAACGAGTTTTCACATTTGCATGCCATTAGAAGATGCTTCATTCAAAGTGGATTACATTGCATTCGAGATATGCCAACGCTATCTCATGACCAAATTCATACTTATTTTACGAGGTGGCTAATTCGTAAGAATTCGTACGACCTCACTCATACGGTTTTGTACGATTTGTCTAGACTCCAGTGATGGGTAGGTTTAGGGGCGGGGTTAGGTGTAGGTCATTCATACGAATTGGGGAGCTCGTAAAATACGTACGATTTAGCAAAAATTGTACGAATTTGTAAGTGTGAAGTCATACGAATTTGTACGATTTAGCCACCTCATAAAATATGAACGAATTGCCATGAGATCGGTAGGGTTGTGCCGATAAGACGATAGTATCATGTATCGACGATAGAGATATCGCCTGTGGCTGATGCCTTTGACGATAGCAGGACAATTATTATTATTATAATCAGGCTAGTAATACTATCATTAATATTAGAGCTTATTTGTTTCATTATATTTCTTTTTCCGCATTTTTACAGTGTTGCGCGTTATAACCAATCACACGTGATTATGTTGAGCTTATGAATGCAATGGCCAATCAGAGGCGTTCAGATGAGTCATCGGTAAAACGGCGGAGTTTAGTTGTTCAGCGCGCACTGTCTTTAATTATGACTTGCGAATTCTCACCTCCATCCTAAACAAAGGGCAGATGCATGTGTGATGTAAGAATAAGAGATTTATTCAGTGTAGATAGCTTCACTGATTGTAATGGGAGTGTTTTTAAACTGTTTTTACTCGCGCTAGACTGAAGTCAACGTTCTTTGGCTGCAAGTAGCTGCATTTTGAATAACTGAGGAAATGTAAGCATTAGTAACTTACAATGTTTATATTAAATTGTTATCATGTTAAATACAAATTCAGTCATACTAAAAGCATTCGGCTATTTTTAGCCTTACGCTGGAGTTGGTTCACTTTCCAGCAATGAAACTAAGTAAATAAGTAATTAAATAAATTAGCATGATAATATCGTGTATCGGCGATCTCACAGGCTGACGATAGGACAATATGACAATTAAGCATATCTCCCAACTCTAGAGATCGGGTTGGTATGCATAGTTTTATTTATTTATTTATTTATTTAGTCATTTAGCAGACGCTTTTATCCAAATGAGGACAACAGAAGCAATCAATTGTAGTATTAAAACGACTAAATACAGATCCAAAACTAAAAGCTAAAACTTTATAAATACTACTTATACACATTTTTTAAAATAAAGAAATTCAATAAAAATGACAAATGCATACAACAAAATTTCAAAACTTAAAAATAAAAATAAAGCTAAAAACAATTCAAAATATTAAAGAACAAATGGTATGAGTATAATAATGATTCTAGCATAACACTAAGCCAAACACCAAAAAACAACTACATATATGCGCATGTACAACCATATATATATATATACATACACATTTATAAATTCAATATATATATTATTTCATTTCCATTTAGTTTGTTGACGTGTTAAAATAACTCAAATAAAACTAAAACTTAATAAAAGACCTATACAGATATAATAAATTCAGACATAATTTAACTAAAATTAAAATAAATTACAAATACAAATCAAATGACAGTAGTTTATCAGTATTTGTGTTTTGATTTTGTTGTTTTCTTTTATGAGGCATAATTTAATTATTGTACAGCACTTTGGTCAATGCTCTGTTGCTTTATAGGCATATATGCATATTTGTGTACACGTGTAAACAAAGAGACTATGAGCTAAAAAAAATCATAAACCTTACATCTCACTTTACTATTGTACAATGCATGTTTGACTGTAAAATCTGTCTCATCTTTGTTCCGTTTCTTTATTATTGCATATGATAATCCATGTGGAGGTGATGCTGACAGTTTTATACGCATGGATGGTAATCTCTGGGATTAGAGTGTTGCCCTTTTCCAAATAAACGAAAGAGTTGGAGACAACGCTCTAACTGAACGCAACTTTTCGTTTGATATTTCATTTCACACATTACTTTCTCACTTTACCTTCACAGGATTTGCTCGCCCTCCAGATGGATGCTGCATAGATGCTCTGAATCCTTTTTGTTTACTGTCATCCCTCGCAAACCGCCGCGCGATGCGTTTTGACAAGTCACGAGCGCCCGCGAAAAAAAAAACGCGGTTAATCCGGCGGTACGTGGGATTTGGGCGGGAAGAGAGAGAGTCGGTTGAGGAAACACGGGATTGGACGGATGCTGTGACTCAGATGAAGAGATGAATCCAATTCACTTCACTTTACCTCAGCTGAACGCCGGACGGAGTCTCTGTTAGGCGACCGCGGAGAAAGAGGAAGAATATTAAGGAACATTATACTATTTAACGATGGCGTTCATGGTAAAACACGTAGTCGGCGGTCAGCTGAAGAATCTGACAGGAGGTCTGACAGAAGAGAAATCTGACGGAGACAAATCCGAAGCCGCCGCTAAAGGAATGACCCAAGAAGAGTTTGAGCAGTACCAACAACAGCTAGAGGAGGAAAAGTAAGCACACCTACCTGATTTTTCTCATAGAAATGTGTGGATTTGATGATATTTTGGGAATGTTTTTGTTAGGCGGCCGTTTGGAGAGACGCGCGAATTTTTCGCGCCTCGTTGGATATTTGCGCGCGCAGCTGCTCGTTTCGCTCAGGGAGATATTAATAACTTCTCACATTATTCACATCCACATTAGAGTTCAGCAGAATTCGCGTGTGTAAATTAGAATATTTATAGATTTATAGAGTTGCTTCAGGCGCGTCAGACTCAAGTAAATCCTGCTCGCTTGTTTGTTTAATTGATTATTCTAAAATAGTACTGATAATTAGATTAGTAGTAAACCGAGATACAAAAGATGACAGTACTGTACCATAGTACATTGATATTATGTGGTATAAATTGTTTCCATGATTGTACCATGGTATTTACAAGGATACCATGGTACTATTTGGGTAACACTTTTTTATTTTAAGGTGTCCTTGTTGCACGTTACATGTATTTACTATTATAATAACAATAAATTATGCATAATTACATGCAAGTAACCCTAATCCAAACCCTAACCATATAGTAAGTACATGTAGCTAATTAATATTACTCAGTATTTAAATGTATAAATAACAAGGACGCCTTATAATAAAGTAACCATTTATGGTAGTGACAGATATCTGCTGTACACGTCATTAAAATCTGCTCATTCTGTAAGTATGCCTCAGGTAAAATGATTTTAATTAGTATTTTACTAATTCAAACTCAAATCACATCTGCCCATTCAGAAGACATAAATCTGACTTGTAGGAAAGCCATCTTGTTTCTGGCTCATGATAAATGGGAAAAACCAAAATACGAGGCTGTTAGAGCCATCTAATCATGATGAAGTACCGCATCCCAAGCATTTCTAGCGTTCTTCGCACGCTTTGTCTTTAGATACCAGCTCATAACAGCCAATGCATGAACAGGTGGCCGTGTTGACACGGTTTGCATAACTGCCATATTTGGAAAATTATGATTTCACAGATTTCAGATGGCTGTGCCGAGCTCATCCGCATGCTGTAATCCAACTCATGTCCTCCGAGAGCAGATTTTACACGAACAGATAGTTTAACACTGAGTCGTGTGTTTAATCTCTTGAATCAGCCAAACCGGCATGATCTTCTCAAAGGTTTTTGCTGCTTATTGATATGGGGATTATTGTAACTAGTCATTTGTTATAGTGAACCGAGTGGATGAGCATCACCCGACTGTCAAAGCGAGTCTAAATCCCCGAGATATTCCCCCTCCCAACTCTTCTTCTCTAGTAAATACTCATTTAGCAGCTGCTTTTCTCCTAAGCAGCTTCAAGTACACTTAACATAGAGAAGATCCCTCTGGAGTAAGCATTAAAGGAAGGTTCCTGGTTCGATACAAACATGTGCAAAAGGGATTGAACAGCAACCTTCCAGATATCAGGCCTGAACATTATCATAATTTGCTGGTTGTTGTTCACTCACTGTATGTCTGTTGTACTAAATGTGTTCATTCTATGACCTTTGCTTCAGCCCTGGAGATTCGTATTGACCTTTAACCTCACATGACTTTCAACAGTGCCCAACCAATTAGATGTAATTCAGCACAAGGTTAAACTTTTATTGCATCACATATATCCATTATAAATTTTGTTTTTTGATTATTTCCGTTTTATAAGATGCTATCTAGTTTCCTGTACCATAGAAGGCTATTATCGTTAATTTAAAATCATTTACATTTAGTCATTTAGCAGACGCTTTTATCCAAAGCGACTTACAAATGAGGACAATAGAAGCAATCAAAATCAACAAAAGAGCAATGTTATATAAGTGCAAATGACAAGTCTCGGTTAGCCTAACGCAATGTAGCAAGGTGTATATATATATATATATATATATATATATATATATACACACACACACACATATATATATACACATACACACACACACACACACACACACATATATATATACACACACACACACACACACACACATATATATAC